CGGCTCGGTCACACGTTAATGTCATTAGTTTGTTATCATTACTGAGCTGCAGGACTACTTTTCCCCCCCTTTTCACATCATGTCGCCTGCCTGGATCTGTTATTATCTCGCTCTGAAGCACAGAGTGTCAGAGGTAAGCTCGTTTCAACTGCTTTTTACAAAGCGGTCTCATGTCTGGACTCAGGCATTTTGCTGGTATTTCAGTTAAAATACATAAGTAAAAATATTTATCCGAGTATAGTACTACCCCCCAACTTTATGGATGATTTTATGGATTTAATTTTATGTATTGTACTTGAATAAATATGGTATTTATGCTTATAATCGATTTTCTTGCTCACAAAAAGTAAATATTAAAAAAAAAACACCATTTTTTTTACGTAACACTTAGTTCTTTTAAGCGTTTAGCTACTGCTGGTTAACTTTAACTATTAAATATGCATCTATAAATGTTATTTTCTACTATTTTGCTAATTTTAGCTTTTAGCTATTGTTATGCAAGTGTCAGTTTTAAGCTGCCGTTTTGCTGATTTAGCATTTACTTACTATACGGGTTGATCATTTGCTAATTTTAGCTTTTGTTCTGTTAATTTAAATTCAATACTTCAGTTTCAGGTTCTTCCATAAATTTCATCAACACTTCAGCACTCGACGTTCATGTTGCATTTTTTGCAGAAAGTGTATTTTTTTTCTAGTATAAAAGGTAAAATCTCATTGGTGTAGCTGGCGATGCGAAATTGCAGGAAATAAATCTTTTTTTTTTTTGACTGCAGATGTAAACACCTAACATTTGTCACAATATTGAAATAAATATTTTCCTGTACAAAATGCTTAAATTTCAAAATGAACGCCAGATAAACACAAAGTGTTTGAACTTGTGTTACCCTTTTGCCCAAAGCGTAACACTTAATGCAGCCCAGCTCACAGCAGACTTTTTTTTTTTTTTGTGAAATGTACAATAAGCATTCCCTAAAAAAATGCATAAATTCTCTTTTCTTCTTGTCTGGGTGATTTTAAAATCACATCTTTTTGCACAACAATTAAGAAAGGCGATTAGCCTTTGTGATTATAGAGAAGGAAGGGAACTTGTAAGTGCTAATTACACAAGTAGAGCATCAAAGTGCTAAATCACACACACACACAGACGTTTGGACGGATCAAGTACAGGCTGGGACTGAGCGCATCTGCGCCAAGTCTGATGGAGCTCTGCCTCAGACGTACTCTGTGGCGTGTGGAGGCGTCTCGAAAGCCTTCATTAAACATCTGGTCACCTGGTAAATTAGCTGTTATGCTTTTAGCTGCTTTATTTCCTCTCAGTGTTTATCTTTTGTGTACTTTCAGTGACGTAAATTATTTCACAGACTGTTCGCTGCTGCAGCGAGATGATTTTTGGAGCTAAATAAAGATTTTCTTTGAGCATAATTGCTCATTTTTACTGATTTAGCTTATTGTTCTGCTCTCCTGCCACAGTCCTGTTATTATTGGACAAACAGAGATAGTAACCATCCAGAGGAGACAGGGGTCCGGCAGAGCTGCTGCTTGTGCTCCCTCTGTCTTGCTCTGATGACGCCCTCTTCAGACGGGGAGCAGGAAGTGGCGCTTTGGGAGAATGGATCCCAGCTTGAGTCTCTAAAGAATCATCTGAAACAAACAAATAGCAGTAAAAATAATCAAATGCTTCTTAACATCACATATTTGAGAAGAGAGGATTTATTGAAGATCTGCAGGGTGCTTCTACTTATTTATATGTCCTTTCTCACCGATTACAGAGATGCTGTACGACCTGGGACTTGTAGGACTGAGGGGTCCAGATATCCGAGACCCCAGTGGGACTTTTGTAGCAGGTTTGGGGATGATGCTCGGTGGTTTGGACCTGGGAATCAGCTCTGGTTTGGAGTCTTCAGTGTCCACTGGGACAACAGGATGGTTGTCTGACTTTGCTGACATTATGAAAAAGATTATGTTGGTTACATTTAGTTATGTAATTTTTACATTTTTTTTAGAATTATGATTTTGCAAAATATCAAAACATTGAAGTTCTTAGTTTTGTTGTTTTTAATTACATTTTTTTCTGTTTTTTGAGGATTTTTCTTTAAAAAAAGTTTTTTTGTGTGATTCAAGAAAGAAGTTTTCTAAAACTTTGTTCTCTTTTTGTTATTTACATTTCAAAATGTGTTTAAAATGCACGGCTAACACAGTAATAAGCACTCACCTTTGTGTGTGTCCACCTTGTCTGGTCCGGACGTTAAATCAGCCTGAAAGTCAGAAAACTTTTACTCATTTGTCGCATTAACATTATTAAAGTGCCCATGACATGCCGATCCATCCAATTCAAAAAGTAAAAGAAAACATCTTTTTTGTTTAAGAAACCTTGCATAATACATGTGATTTTACCCTTTTTGTCACGTAACTGACAAAATGTCTCTTAAACTTAAACTCAGACTAAGTGAAGCAGGAAGTGACATCAAAGGGGAACTCTAAGTAAGAAAACTCTGTTTTTTGTTTATTGAAAAGATTTTATTTGAACTCTGAGTCGTCTTCATCTCTCTGATTATGACTCAAAATAATCTTAAAAAACAAATTATTCTCTACAGTCTGTGTCGTTAGCCATTTTATAAATGCTCTTTTCACATGCGGATATTCCCCTTTGACATCACTTCCTGTTACTTCACAGTCAAATAGCTCAACTGTTTATCACAGCAGCGGAAAATAATTTTTGCAATATGTTATTAATGCTATCTTTCACATAATACATTTATATTTACTCCAAAAATTTCATGTCACAGGCACTTTAAGGTTAAATAAATTAGACTTATATAACAATATATTCCTGAGTAATTAATCTACAGGTTTATGGATTCTAACCTTCTTTTCAGTCTTTTTCTCCTGCCTTTTCTCTTGCCTGGCCTTCATCTCAGCCAGCAGGTCTTTTCCCATCACAGGAATCCCAATGTGGCGATGTGCGTGGGGATTCTCCTTCTTCTCTGYGTTCTCTTGTTTCTCTGTGTTTTCAGTCTTCTCTGTGTTCTCCTTATGTTTCACGTTCTTCTCCTCTTTCTCCTCCACAGCAGGTTCCGCGGCAGCCAGAGGCGCCTCCGTCTCAGGAACTGTGTGGTTCAAACATTGTGCCCTGTGGAGCTCCGGGTGCGATTCTGGCACAGAGGTGGGAGATTTGACTCGCGGTGTAGGAGACGTGGGTGTGCTCTCTTCGGTGGTGGTAGCAGGATGTGCGTTGGTGTTAAGGGAAAGCTGAGGTGGGGTGATGGAAGCAGCTCCGGGGCTTTTCTCTGAGCGGGACGTCCGAGATTTGATGTAATTAAAGAAGCCACTCTTCCTGGATTCGCGTTTCTTATCTGTTGYGTCTGGCGTGTTGGTGGAGGGACTTTTTACAGAGGGAAGTCTGCAGAACATAAAAAAGCAGAAACAAAAACGAAATAAAATTAAAGAATAGATTTAGTTATTCTCTATGCAGACGACTTGCGAATTTTCATCAAGTCAGTTTAGGGAGACTACCTAATTTAAATGTCTTTATTATAAGTTTTATAAGGTTAAGAACAGAAAAAAATATAAACATTGCAAAAAAATGGTTTACGTTTTCAAATAATAATAATAATAATAATAATAATAATAATAATGATGATGATGATGATGATGATGAT